CTTTCTTCTACTAAATATATCCAATACTGAGTGATTCAGTTTAGCACCGTAAAATTCTAGAACTAAATGTTTTTCACTAAACTTGTTGTATTCAGTCGGTGGAGAGTCACAAGAAATTATTACAAGTGGATTTTTAAAGAAGACTGACTCATGTTCAAAGTTAGCATCATTCAAATGGGTTAGAATGTTTCAGATACTCAAGGAAGATAATGAAATAACCTGAAGTCTTTAAAAGCAGTGATTTTTTTTTTTTAATGTTAGAAAAATCTGCAAGAATGATTTGATACTCAATGAGTCCCACAAGGTAGAAAAGTGGGTCCAAGGAACAACTAACACCCTTAGAACACAATATCCTCAAATTCTTGGTATAACATGGTCAATGACAGATGACTCCAAAGAAAATGTAAAAGCTTCATATTTCATGTAATATAATAATGCTAAACCATAGGGAAATCCTTTTCAACTAATGTTTATGCAGTAATTCCTGGAAGCACAATTCTCACTCTATCCTGACTGTAGGTACAATTTTACTTTATAGGAACTTTCATCTTTTAAAATATTTTGTCTTAGTACTATTACAGTATCTCTGAATGGCTTAAGGTGCTGCTTTAATCTTTCTAGGTAATATTCTCTTTCCAAATGATGAATTTAACTCAGATCTACAAAAAACAATCTAACCCAGAGACAAAATAACTATGAGAAATGCCAAAAAATTGAAAAACAAATGCAATTATAAACAAAGTATGAATTGTAAAAAATAAAATATGGTACAGAAAGTTGCATTTTTAGTCCTATAACAACATGATGAATTCCCTTCATTTTATGACAGATGATGACATTGTTAACTTCTACATAGACCCTAATACTGAAAATAAAGTTGTAATCATTGTCATTGAACAAAAATCTAAATATTTTTAAGTACATGATAGAAGTATATAAAAATTAATTATTTCTTTTTATGCAATTTTTTTAGTCTTAAAATGTGTTTTAAACATTATATAATTTACAGTAATTAATTCACATTGACAAACTTGATATTTACATTTTTACTTACCTTGCTTACCCTCAGATATTTATACCAATAAAAGATAGTTTTAAATTTATAACATTAAATGTAAACTTTCTGTTCACTAATCACAAAGAGCAACTGAGTTGAAATATTACTTATAAAATGCAAATTATTATATAATCCTCAATTTAATAAATCTACATATACTTAAATGTCAGTCAATATATGACAAAATGCATAAACCACCCAATTTACATATTTCATACAATAAAAGGTTATACAATTATTTTCAAAAATAAAAATGAATAAAAAATATAAAATCAAGATACTTGCATGGTTACCACTATATCCTAGGCCTTTATTTTTAATTTAAACTGCAAATTATATTTGACACAGAATAACTGCCTTTTAAAAAGTTGTCAAAAAACAGCCTATGAGCAAATGCTAACACCAAAATTCTGTCAGCTCTACGACTACCATCTCCACCCTACCAGCCACCCAATCTTAATTGGTGTTGACCCCAGGCATGGAAGTTTCTCAGATTGCATGATATGATGCTATTTCTGTGCTTAACAGTAATATGAGAGGAAAGTCTATATTAATAATATGAGCAGAGGTTTACTATTTGTTGATTTAGTCATTCAGTTCAATTCAGTTCATTTTTTTTTTCTTGGTTGTAAAAGTAGTCTTCGTACTTTCAAACTGTTCAGCATAAACTTTTAAATCACAAACACACACTTCCTGAAAGAATTTTTATTTTTACATTAATCCTCATCTAGAAACTACAAATGTCAAAATTATTTCTACTTTGCTGAATCAGCTCAAGAATAAAGTTACATTTTTTCTCCTCATATACTTGAAGTGTTCTAAAGATGTGTTGAATCCTTCAGTGTGTACATTTGCTATGATTTATAAAATCTGATTTACCTTTTAAATCTTTTTAGCATAATGAACTGACAAGTCATGTAATTTTCTGTTTCATAATTTAATGTCCCTGAAATATACACCCATCAATACTTTCAGAAAGCTAACTTTCCAAACAGGAATCGTGGCAAAGGGTAATTAAACTATTTACTTTTCTGTAGAAGCAACCAGGTTTATATAAACATTGGAAGTCCAGTTGAAATTTTTCAGTTATTCTGACTGGAAATAAACACCTGTAGTTGCCCCTGATCCCATGATAAAATCTTTTTGTGAATGAGAATTGTATATTTTTATCAGAACCCTAATATAGACAAATGGCTTTTATCTTCGGCTATGTAAAAGTATATTATTGTTTATTGGTTTATTTGGTAAATGTTTATTGCTTCTTTAAATCCAAAAAGGAAACCATGGGTTTTTTTGTCTTTGAATTATGGAGCCATTTCATTATGATTGATGTTCAATTCCCAGTCTCTTTGACCCTTTATTATCATTATAGCTTAGTAAGTGGCTGGAGAAGGAGAACCTGAAAGATATATATATATAGAGAGAGAGAGAGATAGAGTGTATATATATATATACACACATATATATATACACACACACACATATATATATATATTCTACTAAAATTACATCTCTCTATATATAAAGATAGGTACAGTGTTTCCTTAGCAAGTTTCTATCTTACGGCCTTCTCTGAACTATTGATTGTTAATTTCCTTTACTTATTCTGACTTCTGACTAAAGAAAATATCCTACTAACCACCCTACCCAAGTCTAGAATACCGAAGATGTTTCCATTGTATGTATTTGTTATCTATCATTGTGTGATAAATTTTCTAAAATATATTGGTTTAAAACAAAATGTTTATCATCTCACAGTTCTCTCAGGTTAGGAATCTTGTTTTGCTCAGTGTGGTGGTTCTGGCTCAACATCTCTCAGGAAATTGCACTCCAGTGTTGCAATTATCTCAGATCTCAACTGGGGAAAGATTTCTTCCAAACTCACATGCCTTTTGGATGACCTCAGGTCCTTGCTGGATCCTGGCTGAAAACATCAGTTCTTTGACATATGAGCACCTTAAAACACTGTAGCTTGATTCCCTCAGAACAAGTGAATGAGAGAATGAGAGTGTAAGACAAGGCACCCAAACCAGACCACAGTCTTTTGTAACCTAATCAGAAATGACACCCCATCACTTTTGTAATATTTTGTTTATTAGAAACAAGTCACTAAATCAGCCACCCTCAAGGGGAAAGAATTACATAAGAGTATAAATACTAAGTGGTAGGGATCTTTAGGAGTCATCTTGGAGGCTGCTGACCGTACCCATGTTCCAAAAAAAGAGAAAGGAGAATTTTCACTTCATTCCTCAACTAAATGTTATCTTTGAATTAAAACTAAAAATTTACCTTATTTTGCTAGTTCCTGTATGTGCTCTATCTAGGTTCTAGGAAATGATGGAATATGCTTGGCTTTCATTCTAGAGTGAAGAGAACAGAAAAATATCAAAATACAACAAGTCCCATGAAGAAAAAATAAAATAAAACAGAGTGATAGAATAACACGATGGGCTGATGAAAGAGAGGCTAATTATTTTGATTAGGCAAGGTTTATATGAGAAAGTACTTTTAAGATGAGAACTGAATGATAACAAGGAATTAGCCTTATGTTTTCATAGGGGTATTGTCAGGAGTGGAATCTTGCAGCAACGGGAAAAATAAAGCAAAGATTTAGGGCATGAAAATCCTTGATAGGCAAATTATAGGAGTTTCTTGAGACTGATACCAAGTTAAGAGAACCAGATCTTCTAGAACCTTGTATATCATGGTAAGGATTTAGACTTAGTAGAAGTGCAGTGGAACACCACTGTGTATTCTGAGTGGTTGAATACCTATTTATATCTATCTGTCTGTCTGTCTCTCTATCTATCTATCTATCTATCTATCTATCTATCTATCTATCTATCTATCTGAGACCGTCTCACCTTGTCATTCAAACTGGAGTGCAGTGGCACAATCGTAGCTCACTGCAGCCTCAACTCCTAGGCTTCAGTGATCCTCCTGTCTCAGTCTACCAAGTGGCTAGGAATATAGTCATGCACCCCCATGCCCAGCTATTTTTAATTTTGGTTAGCAATGAGGTCTTGTTATGTTGCCTATGCTGGTCTTGCCTCAAGTGATCCACCCAGCCCAGCCTCCCCAGTAGCTGGGATCATGTGCACAAGCCACCACTCTCGCTAATATCAATATATTTTTTAAAGACCATTCTAGGACTGTGTGGAAATGTATGGAAAAGGGGCAAATGTGGCCACAAAAGATCGCATAGCTATTTCAATATTCCACATAAAAGATGAAGGTAGCTTGAACTAAGCAGTAAAGATAAACAGACAAATGGATATAAAATATATTTTGAAGGTAAAGCAGATAATATTTACTAATAAATTAGACCTGGGAAGATATGGTGAACATTTTTCATATTTTAGCCTGTAACACATTTGAACATATTTCTATAATTTTGTAGTGTGCCAACTATGAGTCTCCTCTGATTAAAAGGAATCTGAAAATTCATTTTCCTATACCTCTCTGAAGGTGAAAAACAGGATTATGAAGTAGGTTATGCCTATCAGGCATACAGAAGACAGACTGGTACAAACCAGCAAAACCTGAGACAGCAAGTATAAATATGTCATCTTAAAAGCCAGGAGAGTGTGTGTCAAGAAGTAGGGAATGTCCAATTATATTGAATACTGCTGTGGTTTGAATACAAAGAGAATGAAGATGTGAATGTTCTTTGACAATGAAAAAGTCACAAGAGACAAGTGGACAGGTGTAATTGGAAGGCTGATTTTAGTCACATACGGCGTGGAAGAGTCGTTAGGAAGAGGAAATAGCAATTATAAAAATATACATTTTAGATTAAGTTTTGCTATTATAAGATCAGGAAAAATCAGTGGTAAACATGGGAAGTTAAAGGTTTATAATATATTTTTTAAAAGATGAGTAATATTAAAATCGTGTTTCTATGCTGATAGGAATGATCTAGAAAAGCGGAAGATGTTGGTCATGCAAAAGAAAGAGGTTATATTCATTATGTATTTGTCAGCAACAATGTATTGAGTGATAATTATGTGCCAGTCACTGTTCTATAGATAGAAAATACGGAATTCACTTTCTATTTTTGGCTGAAAAAACAATAAGCAAGGAGTATTAAGTAAAATATATGGTGTATAAATTGATTAAAGAGAAAATAATGTTGGCAATTTTAAATAGAGTGACCAGGTAGAATCTCACTGAGAAAATGAGTAAAGGCCTGAAAAAAATATAAATTACATCATGTGGACACCTGAGAGAATAACTTTCCAGGAAGAGGGAAGAGCAATTATAGAAGTTCTAATTCAAGAACATGCTCAATTTTTTTTTTAAGTTAATTATTATTTTCAATTGTTACGGGTGTATAGTAGGTATGTATATTCATGGGGTAGATGTGATGTTCTGAGAAAGTCATACCATGTGTAATAATTACATCAGGGAGAAACATTAAGAAAGGCAAGGTGGGTTCACACCTGTAATCCCAACATTTTGGGAGGCCAAGGCGGACGGATCACGAGGTGAGGAGATCGAGACCATCCTGGCTAATACGGTGAAACCCCGTCTCTACTAAAATTACAAAAAATTAGCCAGGCGAGGTGGCGGGCGCCTGTAGTCCCAGTTACTCAGGAGGCTGAGGCAGGAGAATGGCTTGAACTCGGGAGGCGGAGCTTGCAGTGAGCCGAGATCGCGCCATTGAACTCCCGTCACTCCCGTCTAGGCAACAAAGGGAGACTCTGTCTCAAAAAAAAAAAAAAAAAAAAAAAGGCAATGTGGCTGAGGACAAATAAATCAGAACAAGGGCACAATATCAAAGAAGTAACAGGCCAGGCAAGGTGGCTCATACCTGTAACCCCAGTACTTTGGGAGGCTGAGGCAGGAGGATTGCTTGAGTCAAGAAGTTTGAGGCTGCAGTGAGCCATCATTTGGCCTCTGCTCTCTAGCCTGGGTGGCAGGGTGAGACCCTGACTCAAAGAAACTTTAAAAAAAGAAAACCAGATCTCTGGGGCTTGGTAGATTATTTAAGAACTTGGAATGTACATTTGTGATAGATTTTTGGACTAAAAGCCCACTTGAAGTAAGCCCATGAGGGAATGGTAAGAGATAAACAGGAAACAGGGAGAAAAGACTACAATTTCAGGAAGTGTTACTTACAGAGATGGGGAAAATGTGAGGAGAGCTGGAAGAAAACATGAAATTAGTATGAGTTTTTAAATGGAAGAAATATCAAAATATGTGTGTGCTATTAGGAATAGCCCAGTAGCTCAAAGTCTTTTCCTATATCTCTGACCGTATCCTCTCAGTCTCTTTTTTCTGTCTCCTTGATCAACTACTTAACTTCTTTTTTATTATTTTTTTTTAATTTTTGAATTTTGTTGGTACATGGTAGGTGTATTTATTTGTGGGGTACATAAGATATTTTGATAAGGCATGCAATGTGGCATAAGCGTGTCATGGGGAATGGGGTATCCACCCTCTCAAGTATTTATCCTTTGAGTTACAAGCAATCCAATTACACTTTTTAAGTTATTTTAAAATGTACAGTTAAGTTATTACTGACTATAATCACCCTGTTGTGCTATCAAATTGTAGGTATTATTCATTCTTTCTGTTTTTGGTACCTATTAACCATTGCCACCTCCTTGCCACCCAGCTCCCTGGTACTCCTCCCAGCCTCTGGTAAAGATCCTTCTATACTCTATATCCATGAGTTTAATTTTTTTATACATATTTTTAGATTCTACAAATAATTGAGAACATATCTTTCTGTGCCTGACTTATTTCACTTAACATAGATAGGAATGTAAATTAGTGCAACCACTATAGAGAACAGTTACGAGGTTCCTCAAAAAATTAAAAAGTGAAATAGCGTATGATTCAACTACTTAAAAGTGGCCCAGGTCTCAGTTCATGGACCTTTTTTCTTCTCTCTTTTTGCTAACATTTTAGGTGACTTGATCCAAACTCATGGTGTCTATATGATAATGGCTCCCAAATGTATATCCCCAGCCCTAACTCTTCCCTGAACTCTAGACTCATATATTTAATTTTGTTTTTAACAATACTACTTGGGTGTTTAAACAGTTTCCTTAAACATAACATTTCAAATACTGAATATCTAATCCATTCCCGTCCCCATCATAGTCATCCCCATTATTTAAGTAAATAATCATTCAACCCTTTCGGCTTCTTAGGCTTAAATATTTGGAATTATTCTTGAAGTTATCATTTCACAATATTCATCCTGTTCACCATTGAATGAATGTGGTGCTGCCTTCAGTATACACAACAATTTCAGTAGCTTCTTACTACTTCTTTTGATCTTCTTAGTCCCAACCACCACCTCTCACTGAAATTTTAATAAATTTTATATGGAAACCTTTTATTTGCTCTTAACTCTTTATAGTCTACTCTCAACCAATATTCAGATTAATCATATTAAGACATAAGGCATATAATTTTACTCCTCTTTGCAAAACTTTTATTCAGAATAAAAGTCAAATAACTTGCAAAGTCCTGAAAGACCTTGCATGCTCTAGAACCCTACTATCATTCTATCCTATCTCCTACTACTCTACTTTTCACCCACGCTCATCTCCTTGCTGATGTTGAAATAGTTCACATATCCATACAACACAGGGCCTTTACAGGGCCTTTACATTTTGCTGTTTTTGTTTGTTTGTTTGTTTGTTTCTGTCATGCTCTTTTTTCCAGATTTATGTATGGCTTATTTCTACGCTTCCTTTATCTCACTGCAAATCCCATCTTATTAGAGATGCATCTGTGACTACCCTACATAAAATATTAATTCTTCTTCTCTTGGCACTACATTTTTTCCTGCTTTATTAGTCTTTATAGCACTGGTCACCATACAAGTCACTATGTATTTACCTTTTGTTATTGTTAATTCTCTGTCATTTGAATGTAAATTCTTTTTTTTTTTCCTGTTCAAGTTACCTTCCCAGTGGTTAGAATAAAGCCTGACTTATGTAAGAAATCAACAAAAATAGATGAATAAATGAATAAATTTCTTAAAACACTCCCTCCATTACCTTGTCTTAGTTGAAAATTGGCCTTACAAATGGCTTATTGATAAACCAAATTACATTTACAGGTAGATGTCATTCTTGAATTATCTGCTGCATCTGGCACTAGTTTTCATTTTTCACTCGCGGAAGTCAAGAGTGACTTTCACGACTCCTTCCCAAGCTCTTGGTGTTTCTCAGAACTTTCTCTTCCCCCAAATTTCCAGTTGCCTTTGAGGGATCATCTTTCTCAGCTAGTCTGTTCAATGTTTATCCTCTTTATTGCTGTTCTAGTTTTAACTATGATAATTTTCCACTTTGCTTAAGTAAACTCTTTTATTCTCACAATCTCAACAATGTTGTATTTC